ATAGGGACGGTGCTCTAACCCAGCGGTTCTCAACCTGTGGGTCGCGACCCCTTTGGCGGTCGAACGACCCTTTCACAGGGGTCACCTAAGACCATCCTGCATATCAGATATTTACATTACGATTCATAACAGTAGCAACATTACAGTTATGAAGTAGCAACGAAAATAATTGTATGGTTGGGTCACAACATGAGGAACTATATTTAAAGGGCCAGAAGGTTGAGAACCACTGCTAACCAATCAAGCTACCCAGCCAGGGTGAGAACCACTGCATTAAAGACACACAAGGGAACCTGGGCTACAGCGTGAGCCTTCCCCTGATGAACAGACTTGCTCCCAGTGGTTCCTGGTGTAAGACCATATTTTCCATTCCCCTCTACTCAACACCAGTCGGACAGCCTACAAGTCCCATCTCTACACTCAAAGATGCAACCTGGGCGTAGCAAACAATTGTACGTGTGCAAGCTAATGCCCTCACGTCTCCCCGCTTCTCGGGCAGCAAGACCAGGGGCCTAAACGGAGAGCCGTTGCTCCCAGCTAGAGCCCCCGGGAAGCCACCCTGGATACGCCAACAGAAGAAAGGCACATACCTTGTTCTTGGGGTGCTCCTCCAGGTCTCCCTCACGGACGCCCGGGCCCCGCTCTCCCAGAAGAGTGGTGCTGCTGAAACACTTACATTTGTGATGGAGCAGCTCCTCGCAAGACCCAGGGAGGAAGTCCTTCCGGGTGCAGGGGCCGGCTTCCAGCGTTCAGCCTGGGCTGGTTTGGTTCTTTGGGAGAACCACACCTTTATCCCAACCAAAGGCATTTGTCTGGGGCAGCCTGCTCCTCAGCCCCTTCCTCAAACTCCCATCATGTGTAGCCAGCAAAGCAGACCCGCCAGAAGTCCCAGGAAAGAGGGCAGAGACCAGCCCTGGGCCCACCGCCCCTCCCCAGCGGCTTGCAAGCCTGAAGTGCATCCAGCTGATGCTGACTGGTAAGGCTTTGGGCTTTTGAGTCCACAGCCAACCCACAGGACTCAGGGACAGCTGCTCAGAGTCAGGATTGCTTTGAGTGTTTGCAAACCCCAAGATGGTTGTGCTCTTGACCATAAGACAAAGAGGAATTTTGCTGTAAGATGGGGAGGAAAATCCCTGGATGCCTCCAGCTGCCTGGGGTTGGGTGGGGATGGGGGTCAACCAATCATCCGGCCCTCCTCTCAGAGAACGCTTTTCACCTCAAGCAGAGCTTTTTATCACAGGTGGATGCTGTCAAATGCTTTCTCTGCATCTACTGAGGTGATTGCATAGTTGTTGACCTTTAGTAATACAGTGCGTTACGTTGATTTTCAGATGTTAAGCCAACCTTGCATTTCTAGGAGCTCCCACTTGGTCATGGTGAATAATCCTTTTTGTAAGTTGCTGGGTTCAGTCTGCTAATACTTTGTCGAGGAGTTTTGTATTTATATTCACGAGGGATACCAGTCTGTAGCTTTCTTATATCTTTGTCTGACTTGGTACCAGTCACCCCACAGAGGAGCCGAGGAAAGCACGAGTTTCTGTAATGAGACCCCCACTCCCTGTCCCCATGGAATCTGAAATCGGGGCACAGAGATGCCTGCAAATGCCAATGCCCACAGGGGCCGGGCAGGTAAAATCAATTAGTGAAACTATTTGATACGAGAAACCTGGAGAGCATGCCCCCGCCAAAGCGACGCAGCTGTAGCTCATTGTTGCCTTGTGAGAACGTGGGCCAATATTGCCAGATAATTCCCGTTTTTTAGGAGAAACTGGAAGTCCAGGTCTTTGTCTGGACTGTCCAAATTTTTAAATGCTGGCAACTGATTTTAATTAAATATTTTGAATAGGTAAACACCAAAATATTTTTAATATATTTTTATTGATTTCAGAGAGAGAGAGAAACATCCATGAGAGAGAGAGAGAGAGGAGAGAGAAGAGAGAGAGAGAGACATCATCAATAGGCTGCCTCCTGCACATCCCCCACCAGGGATGGAACTCGCAACCTGGACATGTGCCCTGATGAGGGAATTGAACCATGATCTCCTGGTTCATAGGTCAACAGGCTGCCTCCTGCACACCCCCCACCAAGGATGGAACTCGCAACCTGGACATGTGCCCTGATGGGGGAATTGAACCATGATCTCCTGGTTCATAGGTCAACGCTCAATCACTGAGCCACCGCAGCCGGGCCAAAAATTATTTTTGTAAGTATACTAAAGTAAAAGAAAAAAGCTTTCTCACCTAAAACAGATATTCACTGTTCTCAAAGTTCTGTTTATCCTCCCAGAGAATTTCGATGCTTTTCTTTCGTGCACAAATGGTGGCATATCATGCACATGTGTATTCGCTTTGGCTTTCTGATCTCGGTGGCATTTCTATACAGATTCATCAAGAATTCCTAATCCATTCTCATAACTTCAGGGGATTCCATCTATCCATGTATCATGGATGGGCTATAACTAAACCAATCCCATAGTGATGGGCACGGAGGTTCCTTCCGAACTCCTGCTATTTCATTGCACAGTGAATAACATTTTGCATGTGTCGTTTCTCTCATGTGTGTATTGGAAGGCTGGAGCCTAAGGGTGGAATTACTAGGTTCACAGGTATACACGTTTCTAATGTTGACAGATACAGCCCACGGCCTCCATGAGAATGGTTCCCCCTAATGATGTGTGAGAATGAATGTTTCTTCAGGATTTCTCCAACAGTGTTTTTAAAAAAAATTTCATTTTTGCCAGCCTGATAAAACTGTGATTTCAATCTTCTTGCATATTGATTGGTATAGATTGTGGTTGACCAGCTTTTCAAATGTTTAAGTCTTTTGCATTTCCTGTGAAATTCCTTTTCATAGCCTTTGCCCATTTTTATTTTATTTTATTTTATTAAATATATTTTATTGATTTTCTACAGAGAGGAAGGGAGAGGGATAGATCCTTTGCCCGTTTTTAATTATTTCTCCTTTTATATACCGGTGCTGTTTATATATTAGGGAGTTTATCCTTCTGTAATATGAGCTGCAAATAAATTTTCCCTGTTTGTCATTTGTCTTTTAAATATGCTTAGGATGTTGTTGTTCTGTTTTGGAGTTTCTTTTTGCCATGCAGAGGATTAATCATATATATATGGTCAATTTGATCTCCCATTTTAAATTATTTCTCCTTTTATGTACCGGTGCTGTTTATATATTAGGGAGTTTATCCTTCTGTAATATGAGCTGCAAATAAATTTTCCCTGTTTGTCATTTGTCTTTTAAATATGCTTAGGATGTTGTTGTTCTGTTTTGGAGTTTCTTTTTGCCATGCAGAGGATTAATCATATATATATGGTCAATTTGATCTAGCTTTTATGGCTTCTGGATTTTGTATGATTCTGTAATGTTTATGCCTCCTTATAAATTAATTTTCATATATTTAACTCCTCTTTAATCCATCTGGAATTCTGGAGCTGCTCCTGGTGAGCAGAGAGAAGTATGGAACTCACTTTTTTCCAGATAGTTACTCAGTTGTCTCAACCTGAAAACGATTTAAAAACAGTTTAGGGCAAACCACACATTCTGTCAACCCAGGGCCACCATCTTGAAACCTCTTGCTTTGACGGACACGAAGTTCACATCCACAGGAGAAGGGGCAGGCGGCGGCAGAAGAGCCTTGCTCTCATGGAAATTTGCAGAGTGGCCTTTCTGCTAGCCTCCCTGTCCAACAACAGCACAGAGAAAGGAAAAGGTCGCCCTTTCTAAGGCTGCAAAGTGACTCTTGCAAGGGGCACCTGCTGAGTCAGTACCGAGGCTTCATTTACTTGGGCACTTGCTCTAAAGGAGACACCTGTCAGGTCACGTGGCACAAGGACACGGCCTCCAGCATCCCAGGCTCCCAGGACCGAGGTCGGGAATACCTGGCAGACCATGCCTGACCTCCCTTCCCCCAGGTGTCTCCAAAGGACCCTAAACATTTATTGTTTGGCTCTGCAACTCCAGGAACTTGGAGTGGCCAGTTCTAGCTCATTTGCCACCGTTTTCCCAGAGATCAGTGATGGCGAACCTTTTGAGCTCGGCGTGTCAGCATTTTGAAAAACCCTAACTTAACTCTGGTGCCGTGTCACATACAGAAATTTTTTGATATTTGCAACCATAGTAAAACAAAGATTTATATTTTTGATGTTTATTTTATATATTTAAATGCCATTTAACAAAGAAAAATCAACCAAAAAAATGAGTTGGCGTGTCACCTCTGACACGTGTGTCATAGGTTCGCCATCACTGCCATAGATGTTCTCACTGACTTGGGACAGCGAAACCTGGAGAGAGCGAATTGGACTTTTGGTAGCTGTCACTCCTGACTTGTTCTTACTCTGAAATATAAGGGCAGTTCCAAAGTCACTGCTGTGGAGGCTCTTAACTGCCCTGGTCGACTGGGCAATGTGGTGCACAGCCCTCCTCCCGGCAGCCTCCGTAGCCACAGCACCCACTACCAAGTGCCGCTGCCAGGCCCTGAGCCAAGTGCTCGTGCAGGTCATCGTGTCTCATCCTCACAACAACCCATTAGCCTCAGCATTTTCCTGAGGAGGAGGCTGGGCTCAGAGAGGGTGAGCAACTAGCCCGGGGTCACACAGCTGAAGCATAAGGAGATGATGGTGCCACCCAGGCCGGCTGACCTCAGAGCCCATAAGCTCTTAGCCTCGGTCCTATGGGTCTCTATTTTAGGCCACTGAAGGTGCTCTGGCTTGGCCACTGGCATTGCCTGTCACCCTCCCTGTCACCTGGTTCAGGCTCTGGAAGGAGAAAGAAGCCTTGGCCTCTCCAGCGATCAACATAGACTCAGCCTTCTGGGAGGCGGTGTCTGAAAAATGAACTTTCCATCGAATCTGTGCTGTCCCCGAGCAGGCTGGGTGGGACACAGCGAGTGTCTAAGCTCCCTTCATTACTAACAGTCCGATCGATCCGACGCAGCCACGAGGATCAGCAATCGCAGCTGCACAGGGACGCCTCCCACAGGCACAGTGTCAGCCGGGAGCCAGACACAAAGAGGACACAGCGTGCGCATCCTCGTCACCCTGCAGCCCACAGGACAGAGGCTGCAGCCCCGTCTGCACCGCGAGGTATCGGTGGGGCTGGTGCAGGGGGCCGGGACAGGGACCAAGCTTGCTTGTTTCTCCACCTGGGGGAGGGGAACAGATGTGAAACCCCAGTGAAGCATGCGCGAAGGTGCACCTTCCTCTATGTCTGCTAGACTTCCATAGTTTAACATAATTTATGAACATTTTTAATAAAAAAATCACAGAAATTTACAAAAACTGCCTCCACAGAAAAACATCAGCTCTTCTTGAAACAAGGGATCCACCTTTATCATTTAATTCCAAAAATTACCCTAAAATTAGAAAGTCTCAACTTTTTCCTTTTCTGCTATCTCACCTGATTCATTAAGTTAAATTTCCTTGAAATTCCAGTGCAGGTCTGCGTGTGTGTGTGTGTGTGTGTTCCCTTGGCTCTCTGAGAAATTCTAGAAAAATGAGAAACATGACTAAAATGTAGACTTTCAGGGTAATAGCAGGAAACTCACCTGCATGAGAAGGAATGGGAGCAAACACACCTTTGCAGACGAAGTCCCCACACCACTGCACCTCTGCCGGCTGCTGGGGTCTGAGGGCCCAGTGGCCCCCGGCAGGTGTGGCCGGGGCTGCATTGGAAATTTGGGGCAGGCTTGCCCAGGTGGCAGGAGCGGCCTTACAGGAACCGTCACCCGCCCGACCCATTCCCACGCCCAGACCACACGTGACCTCTTGACACCTTTATTCACATAATTCACATGCCAGGGGCACTGGGTTCGCATAAACCAGCCAACAGTGAGGGACATAAGCCACAGCCCTGTGCACCCAGTGAGTCCCCCATATTCCCGTGCAAAACCCTCCAGAGAGCAAGTCCCGCTGTCCCTCGGGCACAGCAGCCCGTCACACCTGACCGCCAACCACCGGCAGACAAAGCCTTCGGCAGCTCCTCCCGGAGGCATCGCCACACAGGGTCCAGCTGCTTCTCCAGACCCCTCGGTCTCATGTGAAGCGGGGGCGGGGGGGGCACATTCAGCAAACAAATCGATGACAACAAAAACAGAAGAAGCCGGGGCTGCCCCGCACGCAGAGGGTCACTCCCTGG